CCGAAGAAATACATGCTATATACATATATCGCATCATGGAGAATGCGGCAGAACAAGTAAGTCCGTGTTTAGATGTTAGCTACATAGGGCCGCGCTATCGTGGATTATATGTATCCCTTTATTTGTGGATAAACTGGCGCGGGTGTGTATACAGATTCGGTTCAAGCCGGATTCATCCCGTCCACGGAACGAGATTCGCGTAATCTTATGTACGTATCCGAGAGATGTATGTGTACTGCGAGTCCAGGCGTCTTTTCCGGTTCCTCGGAAATTCCGAGGGATCGTCGATTAGACGAATAGGGGCTCGTCTCGCCGCAGGAATTATTTTTGCGGCCGAGGAGAGAATATCAAGATGTATATAAAAAAAAATACATAAGAGAGGGAGGAGATATCGGACGGGATCGAAGGTTTCGCGCGGTAACATACTCTCCCGGTGTTCGATAAATACGATCCCCGGCGCCGAGAGATTTATTTTTCACCGCGCATTCTGAAATGATGACCTTTTACGCTGGATTTCGCCCCGCGCGCGTTACGTAGGAAAGATACAAATCACTTTTGGACGTTTGCGGCGGTTACGAACGGCGCGCATCCGTATATACACTCGAACACCCATCGCTCGTTCTCTTCAAGAGTAAATTCTGTCGACACGTATCTCGGATGGCGTTCGAAACATTCATTTCGCGCGATGCCTCATTCGTCAAAATCGACAGCCCCGCGCGCGCGCGCATAAATATTTGATTAAATTACAGTTACAAATGTTCCCGGTGCCTTCGTTAATCACATTGTTCCGACTTTTTTTTTCTTTCCGCATTACCTTTATTCAATATTCAAAGAATGCTGTATTAAAAACGCTTGTAAATCTATCCAAAATATTTGGACAGGGGATTTATATTTTTGGATTTTTTTCGAGTCGTTTATATTTAAAAGTTAAAATATATTTCTAAAAGTTTACGTATAAATATTTAATTAAATTACAGTCACAAGTATTCCCGTTCCCCTCGTTAATCACATTGTTCCGACTTTTTTTTTCTATCCCCATTATTTTTATTCAATATTCAAAGAATGTTGTAAAAACGCTTTTAAATCTATTTGAAAAGAGAATTTATATTTTTGGATTTTTGTCGAGCCATTTATATTTAAAGGTTAAAAAATATTTATGAAAATTTATGTATAAGTATTTAATTAAATTATAGTTACAAATATGTCTCCGTTAATCTCATTGTTTCTATTCGACTTTTTTCTATTCGCATTGCTTTTATTATATATATTTTTATTTATTATTTAATATTTATTCAAAGAATGTTGTATTAGAAATGCACTTACAATATTCGAAAGAGGAATTTATTTGTTATTTTGTTATTTGTTATTTGTTTTTTATTTTTTCGAGTTATTTGTATTGAAACGTCATAAAAAACGTTTATAAAAATTCATGTATTTATTTGAATTATAGTTATAAATATGCCTCCGTTAAAATCTCATTATCCCAAGTTATTTTTCATTCGCATTATTTTTATTCAATATTTAAAAATATATGTTATATTAAAAACATTTTTAAATATACTTACAATATTTTGAAGAGTTTATTTTATTTTTTATTTTTTCATATCTAAAAAATGTTTATATAAATTGGCGTATTTGTATTTATATTTATCTGTATCGTAGTTATAAATATTCTCATTTGTTAATTTCGTTGATTCGATTTTTTTCTCTATTTATATTACTTTTATTGAATATTCAGAAAATGTATTAAAGACGCTTTCAAATGTATTTATATGTATATTAATATTTGAAAGAGGAATGTAAAATATTTGGAAAAAGAATTAAAATTCTTCGAGCTATTTATACTTAAAAAAAACGTTCATCAGACAGATATATAATATTTTGCGACTTTTTCATATTACAAATTCTCACATTTAATAATAATCATGTTTGCTTAAATATAATTGTGTTTGTGAATGGCAGTTCGTGGCTGGAACGCATGAGTCCGTCGCTGTCGATGGAAAGTTATGCGAGGGTAGTGCATAATGCATTAGGTATACACATTCTGCATGAGATGCAGATATTTGCGGAGTGACGGCTTACAAGCGAGTCGCATATTGCTTGTTCTTGTAACTCTACTATTTACTGCAGGTTATATGATACATTTACACGACGCGTTCGAAATTATAACTCCCTGAATATGCAGAATCAACGGGTGCATTATTACTGCGAGGGCATTACGCTTAAGTGCAGCACCATTATCTCAATAGAATAGACAATTGCCAGCAATGTTTCTGCCGGAACAATTGCGAAAAAAATTTAACAATTTATAAATAATATCGTTATTATATAATATTTAGAATCGCGCAGTCTCTCGTCTTTATTACTCTTGTGAGAGAAAAGAATTAAATTTCACTATCGTCGCCAAATTATGGGTGTGCATTTCTCTGCACATGTGAATTCTACATAAATTGTATGTAATTACACAAATACACATGGCTATCTTGTGCACACGATTTATGCACGTTTGTTTCGTTTTTTTTTTTTTTCGTTTTTCGCTCTTTTCGATGCATCGTCGCGTTTTTTTTTAGCCTAGAATGCCAAAAATTCAAAGGTGGATGTTGCGGAAACCAATCGCGAATAATTTCGTCCGCCTACGACTCGTAGTCGAGTATTTTTTGGAGTGAAGGATTTGTCGAAAGCACGAGGAACGACGCCTTTTACGCTTCACAACCTTCCGTAATCCGCATACGCGCCCTGTTATCGATAAAAGTAATACGAGGCTCGTTCTCTGCACGCGCGAGTAATCGCTTGAATTTATAGGAATGCTGCTCTCTGAAATGCGGTTCTCTGTTGCTGAATTTTTGCGAACGAATCAAGTGTCAAAGGACGATGAAAGCGTCTATGAAAACGGAATAATTCTCTGCGACTGAACGCTCTGCTTGATGCACATGGGAAATAATCATTTGCTAGAGGAAAAAAATCCGATACTTTATTTAATAAACTTACGTGTCAGTAGTCCAGCCTTTTCCATAATTCTTAATCTTTTGGGATAAAACGTTAACAAATTTTGAAACAATACTTCTTGGACATGTGCAAACATAGTCGCTCGAAAATATCTGTTTTCATTTCTTTTGAAGCATGAGAGTTTCAACTGTTTTTTCAGAATCGAAATATTCTGCCACAGAGTGGTAGAATAAAACCATTTGTTATGGATCTAGAAAAAATGCGTGAGAAGCCTTGACTGTGTTCTTTAGAATCGATCCAAATAGATAGTATTTTAAAAAATTCTAAAACAACACTTTTAACTCGCAAAGTTGTTCGAAAATATTGTTGCTATTTCTTCCTTGAAATATAAATGTTTTGATTGCATTCTCCAGAATTGACTCAAAATGTTCTGCCATAGAGTGACAGAGTGAAAAATAATCATTTGTTAGGGATCTAGAAGCACGCGTGGGAGAAGTCCAATCCTTTATTTTATAAACTTGCATGTTAGTAATTAAATATATCCTTTCTCCCAGCTATTAATCTCTTAGAATAGAATATTAATAAATTCTAAAATAAATTAGTGTCAAAATACTATCAAAATAATATCATTTAACACTCTATAAAAATATACAAAGTTGTTGAAAAATATTTGTTATCATTTCTTTCTTGAAGTATGAATTTTTATTTCGATTCCGTTCTTCAGAATTGATCCAAAATGTTCTGCTACAGGATGCACAGTAAAAATTATGCGTCTATATGTTAAAATTTTCTTGTGTTACCACGTTTTGATTAGTACTTCAATGTAAAATTAACATACAACTTATATGTTATTATTTTTATAATGTTTTCATATGTTACATTTATGTCAACTTTATAACTTAACGCTTTGTATATGTCTTTTAGAAATGGAATATTATTTTGAGTATTTTTAACATAATTATTTTAAACAATCAACATGTCTCAAAGTCAGTTTAACATTCTAGGAAAAGTTAAACTGAATCTTCAAATAATCTTGAAGTTTGACATACAAAAATAATCAAATTTACTAAAATCGAATGTTTCTATTACAAATAATTTAAGTTAAAGTAATTACTATTATATGTTAATGTCCTCAACATTTCTTAGACGAGTTATTGTAACAATTTTTTCATGTAATTTTTAATTAATTTGTACGTTAGTTTTACATTACACTTAAAGTCACGATAACAAAAATAAATGTAAAGAATCGTGTCAATTATTTAACATTTTAAATTTGTTAATAAGTAACATATGACAAAGTTATTTTAACTTAAAATTTAGAGTGAACTTTCTGGGACATGTGAAAAATGTTATAATTAACATTTTATTTTTTACTGTGCAAGATGGAAAATAACCATGTCTGTCAAAAAGCATTAAACGTTCAAATCAAGTATTAAAACGGTGGAATTGGCCACTAATTTTAGAATTAAGATCCTATCTAAAAAATACTTGTGTTAAATAAAATTTTGAACTTCTCCACGCGATGATTTTTGACAAATGATTATTTTCCATCCTGTACGATTAAATACAAATATCTCGTGCGGAATTTGAATTTTGTTCATCTGATATCTCTCACGCGATTGTCATCTATAATTCGCGCTTCCGGTATCGTTTATCAGTATTCTGCATAATATACAGAACTTGCAGACCAACTGCATTAACACCGTTCTTTAATCTCCTACTTCTTAATCTGGATCTCTTAATCTTAGAGTACATACATTTCTCTTATCAGAAATCTTAACGTCTAATTAAACTTTTAAGGGTATTTAATTCTTGAAAATCTCTTCAAGAACCTTAAAAGTATCGCTAACTGATCTCGCTTTGGTTTCAAGTAATTTTAACTGGTATTTTTGGAATCTTAGGAAAGTCTTTTAATAAAATTTGCTAATCGATATCTTATTCAGGCTTGTCCAATTATAACATATTGCGTGACAAATCTCATTTCACGAGCGAAATCTATACCGATACCCAAATAGCTCTTCCTACCTAACTCTCGTCAATATTTTATCTTTCAGGTGATACCGCACCTGTCCGCTACCTGTCTCTGAAAAGCCTTCTTCCGGATACCACCGGTTACATGACTTATGAGGGTAGTACAACGCACCCCGGCTGTTGGGAAACGGCAGTTTGGTTGATTCTCAACAAACCGATTTACATCACGGCACGAGAGGTAAACACATCGATCCCCAATCGATCCTATTCTATTTTTTATCGGTGTCCAACTTTTCTCGCGATACTTTTTCCTTCTCATCCCTTCAAACTCTCGCCCCCGAACTGAGATCCTCGCGTGTCCCGCAATCATGACCGGATCATCGAAAAATAACGAAAGCGAAGCGATAAGACGGCAATCTTGTCGGATAGATCAGCGAATCGTATTATTCTCACGGTGTGTATTATCTCTGTCATTAGCTGTACGCCCTAAGGAAATTAATGCAAGGCCCTTCCACTACGCCGAAAGCACCCCTCGGTAATAATTCCAGACCGTTGCAGGGTCTTCATTACAGAACTGTGCGAACAAATATCGATTTTGCCAAGGTAATATAATACTGTGATTATGTTATTCGATATTGACGTGCAAAGAACGCGTAGTGTCAGTCAGGATAATTTGCTACCTACAGTAAATGTGATATCATCATGATTATAAGAAAAAAAAACAGTAATTTTTTTTTCTCTCTCTCTCTCTCTTTTAAGATTATTTTATTTAAAAAAAAACTAAATTATTTTTTACGATTACAAAATCACACAGCAACGATTGTAAATTTCAAATAAAAGTCATTAGTTTTTAATAAATTATTAGATGTCGGAATGTTTTTAAATTTCAAAAAAAGTCATTAGTTTTTAATAAATTATTAGATGTTGAAATGTTTTTAAATTTCAAATAAAAGTTAGTTTTTAATAAATTATTAGGTATTACAAATGTGATGTCACATGTTCACATTATAAGATTTAAAAAAAAACGAATATTTATAATTTTTTTTCTCTTTCTTTCTCTCTCTCTGTCTCTCAGGATTATTTTATTTTAAAAAATATATATTATATTTTAAAAATAAATTCTATTTTTAACGATTAAAATACATAAATTTCATAAAATTTCAAAATTTATAAATTTCAAATAAAAGTTTCAAGTCATTTTTGACAAGTTAATATATATTACAATTTTTTAATATTATAAATGTGATGTCGAAGATCGCAATATAAAATTATGAAAAAAATATTCGTAATTTTTCCTCTCTCTCTTTCTCTTAGAATTATTTTATTTAAAGAAAAAAACTAAATTATTTTTATAAAATTAACAAAGCTTATAAATTGAAAATAATAATTATTAGTTTTTTAGAGCAATTTTTAACAGATTATGAATAGAAAATATCAGAAATATCATGAAATATCTTGATCGATCATAGAAGAATCAGTCTCGTCAGAATTTTCTCGCGAAGCTGCAACTTAAATGTACTTTTCGTGTTATTCTGGCAGCGGGGAAACGCCAAGTGTCCATCGATGGCGCAGGACATGCATTATAGAGGTAACACACGATGTTAGCCAGGCTCCAGGAGCCCCTAAACTTCATGCTTCAACGCAAAGGGATCGTCTCGATGAGAATTTGAAAAGATGACTTTTTCCTTCCAGCCAACACGTGGCGGGACGACGGCTCCCTATCGCACAACGTAGTCTGAAGCCGTTCCGCGGTAGGACTACGAGAGAGGACTTTTTCCTAAAGGAGTTCTGGAACGAGACGAGTTCATGTAGCGCGACACGAGGAGGGTGAGGCAAGAGCTGATTTCTAACAACGGGGAATAAGAAAAGGGGTTTCCCGTGGCTGTGCGAAAAACGGACGTAAATTTCAAATGATTGTGTAAACTTAAGGGGTGAAATAAAAATACCATAGAGCGATTCCTGTGTTTCGAAGCAAAACCAGCAAGTGTAACGCAACCGCCGTTTTGTTAGCGAAAGGATTACGTATATAATTTGTAGATAAGTTTTTATCACAGGAGGAAAATACATGTAAAGTTTTGAATTTCGTTTCATTTCCCAGAGTAGCAAGGACAAAGCCGCGTGCGTTGCTACAGCACTAATGTAATTCTCACAACACGAGTGATCAAAGGAGCTTTAAGTGTCTTGGTGGGATATGAGTTTTTGTTTAATGCTGTTTGTAAGTTTACCGAGCATACGAAGATTGTAACAGTTATCAGGGATGGGCGTATGACTTAACATAATACCTATTACAAACTAAACAGTGTAATTTTGTAAAATGGACAATATAGCGCACACTTTCAGCTGATGAATGAATGATTCCTATAGCGAGAGAATAGGCATTGTTTCTCTGAGAGGGACACATTTTTTAAGATGCCCATCGCTGATATACCCCCCGATATACGCGATTCGTCCTGTTGTCACGTGACAAAAAAAAAACGTGCGAATAAAACGACTGCTTGAATAATTAATCTCGCTGATAAACCTGTGAATCGGTCCGAGTTACTTGACAGGTTTTTGTCAATTACCGCGTAGCCAATGGCGATACGACGTGAACCATGTAAAGCGAAGACCATTGGAGGACGCAGGGGAAGGAAAAATGGGAATGGGGGAAATGTAGCGGAAGCGCGGGAAGAGATGAGACGATCGTGATGGATCTCGGTGGAAGATACAGAAGAAGAAATAGCCGGTATCACGACGAAGGAAAGGGGGGAAGAGGAGACGGAGGTGGAGAGGCGGAGAGCAATTTCGTAATAGCTTCGGGATAGAGACGAGTAGGTTAATAAAGAAGGAATGGTTCGGAAAGGGAAGAGATTAGGATGAAGTCATGTGGTAAATCAACCGCGTGGAAGAGAACCCCGGGCTCTCTCTCCCTCTCTTCTTCTCCCTCTCTCTCTCTCTCTCTTTCCGTTAGCTTAGCCGATGGACGAAATAATCCGGCGCGCTTTTGTATATATAAACACAGATACGGAAAATGTACACGAACAGACATTTACCTAAGATAGACGTTAAGCAGCGAAAAAGGCGAAATTCTTTTAGGGAGAAGAAAAAAAGCGCGTGTATAGAGAATAAAGTTGTATTATAAATCGAAAAAGTGAACGTTTAACAAAAAAAAATTGTGGTTAATAAGTAACAATAAAGGCGACGTTATATTGTACAGCAACAGCGACCGCTGTGTCTCTCCCTCTCTTGCAATCAATTCTTTATTTGTGGACGTACCTATATCGATTGCAATCTTTTCTTTTTCATCTAAAGCCGTCGCATCTTTGCATCCCCTGCTCTATTTATTTTATCCGACGAAATAATCTCGTCGAATTATTTGCGCATCGAACATCGATGCCAGAGCGGCTGCCTCGAGGATGTAAATTAATAAATTTCGATGATACCCGTTAATTTCCGAGCCTGAATCGCTGAGGGGAAAGTTCGGGTTCGGAACGCCTCTGCAAAGTTGGGCATTACAAATTTCTTTGTCGACGTACGTCAAGGATAAGTCAAAGTTCCAACGATGCTCGCGAAAAGTTTGCGAGAGGGCCACGATGCTCGATCCAAAAATTCGAGCAGGCTGACAAATTATCCGGGACAAAACTGGGTTGAACACCGGCCTGAAGTTCACGCCTCGGCCTGCGAGACCACGTTTCATCCTTAATTAATTATCTGCCGCAACTTTCGCGGGACGCCTTCCTCTTCCGCTCTCTCTTTCTCTTTCTCTCGAGAGACTAAGAGGTAAGTGGATTCTATTTTATCAATTTGCGGAATAATTTATACGCGGCGGAGAAACTGATTGCCCGTCAGGGCGCGATATCCTTCACCGTTGGTGTCTTCATGCTTCGCGTTCGTTATACGATTTGACGTTAGACAATTTGTTGCAATTTAATCAATTGGAGAACGACTGCACGCGACGCATGGCTTTAAACGAGGTCATTGATTATGTAATAAGATTCAATTGCTTCAAGACGAACGCGAGCAATGTGTAATAATTATATCATTGCTCTATATAACGATTAATAATTTGAAAAGTCATACTAATAATAATTTGTCACGTGAATGACACATGAATGACATAAAAACAAATTTTATTAAATTCAAGATATACTTGTGCGACTCGGATGGAATGATATATGATTAAAATTTGTGAATTTTCCATCTTAAGATTAGCGTATAGATTTTGAGAATTTATGCACTCGCTCGAATTGCAATATAATTATCGTTATTACGGATTTTGACTACGCGAGTCATTTTCTTCGATCAAACGATACCGTACTCGCGTATATATATGTGTGTACGTTAGCTTAAACGAATGCAACGAATTTAAGAAAGGGGAAGATTTGCTGAGAATGTGCTGAGCGAGTAGCTGGGCTCGGTTTGCGTGCAGCAGCAAGGCAAGAGGATGCAGAGAGATATGCTTGCTGAGCTCAAGTTCGTTGAGGAGAAAAAAGGGGGCGAATAAAGAAGGTAAAAGAGAGGAGAGAAAGTCATCACGTGACGTCCTCGATTGAAGAAGCGAACAAGGAGTCCCTGTACTCTTTTATGGAAATTAAGAACGTAATTTCGGATTCCCACGAGTACAAGTACAGATGTGAATAGAAAAAATATATATATAATTTTTTTTTAAATGTGATTTTTTTGTTATTTTTTTTTCTTCTTTAGATATTTAACATCTTTATAGATTGATTATTGCAAGTTTATTTTTCACTTTTTATTTTTTAAATGACAAATTTGAACTAACCACCACTATTTTAAATATAACTCGCGATTGGTTATAGTTGTATAATTATTATTTTTAATTAGATAAATTTTCTGCATAGACAAAATTGAACTTGAATGAATTGTCTTTATCATGGATACAAAAATATATTGTAATTTTTGTAAAACATACTTTAGTTTATTTTAATATAATAGAGAAAACTAAGTTTTTATATTTTTTATTAGTTTTTCGAAAATAATTTTAATGAAATAATGAGAGTTTTATGATTAAAAGGATGTCAAACACGATATAATTCGGATAATTTTCAATTAAATGCATAATTTTTATTATGCACGTAACTGAGAGGGAGAAAATTATTCCAATCATGTCGCGTGTTTGATGTAATTTGCCGCAAAATTCTCATTAATTCATTAAAATTACCTTCAAAAATAGATTAATTAAAAATATAAGAACTTTACAGTTTTTTTATTATATTAATAAAATAGGCGAAGAAAAATAATATTATATTAAAAATATAATATTATTTTTGTTTTATATAATAAAACAAATCAAATTTGTTATTTTTCAATAAAAAAGCATGCATTTTTCGATGTATATTTAAAAAAAAAACGATTTTTTTATATTTCTAAATATACATTTTATCCACTTCTGTTTCCTTGATGCTTCGTGACTACCCGCGGTATTTCCATTTTCAGATATGTGCAACGCACGCATATATTTAATGCACAATATATCGTAAAATCGGTATACATTTATATGCATTTAATATTTAGAATTATCACTATCCGATCATTTTTTATTGTTGCTCAGTTTCTTCGAATCAATTTCTACTTTGATGAAAATTTCATCGGATCCCTTTTCTTCTTCCTGTTTTCATTCCAAGCTATGGAGGCCTGCGAATCTTTGGAATATTTATACCGTACGCGAGATATGCATATCTATTTGCATGTGCGCCAGATGCGATCCGTTACCGGTAAAAGTTTTATTGGACGACATAAATATGTCCCGCGCACTTCGTATATTTTCACCTATCTGTATCTTGTGTCTATCACGCTGTAGAGTGCACGCGCGTTTCCTTTCGCGTAGTCTACATTCGAAAAGCATTTGAACCCGGGGCCGGTGTTTGAAACACGCCAGATCTAAATATGTAACAATTTCTTTGAAGCTTAGTGCCGCGGTGCATTGACGAAACGCGTATCGAACACGTATCGTGCAGTGCCAATTTAATCAGACGTTTCCTTCCGCGTTCGATATCAGAGGCGCGGCCGTTGAACCGCGTCGAATGCGGTTAGATGAAATGGAAGTTAGGAAATAATAACCGAAAGTTGAATGCAAGTTCATTTGGCTGAAACTGCTTTAACGTGCATGCAACAGCGATTGCAATATTCCCGCCTTATTCCGCGAATGAGAGATGGCTTGAAAGTTAGCATCCACCATTTCCATCCTCTTTCTCTTTCCCAGTCTCTCTCCCTCTCTCTTCTTTCCCTTTTTTATCTCTAAATGATTGAATTGAAGAATCAAAATTTAACGATGCACGAGAGGTAGAGAATATTAGAATATTAGAGATTGAAATAGAATATTAGTATTTTTAACTCGTGAATATTTAGCTTTCTCTCGGTCGAGTCTCTAGTCTTTGCACGTCTTCGAAAATACATAATTTGACATGTGATATGCTGAATCTTGTGTGTAATTATGTGGTTGAAATTATTAAATTCGATCTATTAATTTATTATTTTTATTTTATAGAATATTTAACCGGATATTGAACTGAATTTCATCAGAGAAAATTGCGTGTGTATATGAAAAATAATAAAATATATCGTAATAAGGTATATTATTTTAAAATTAGATATTTTAATTTTGTTCAAATTTATTCGTTTCTTGAAAGTCAGGAAAATATTAATTATTAATTTTTAAATTTCTATTCTATTTAAATTCACAATATCTACGAAAAAATGTTTTTTCTACTTAAAATATATTAAAGCAACTCGATCCATTCGTTTTCAAAATATCCGTCACATAAACTTTACAATATTTTTGAAAAAAACCGCATTTAAAATTTTACACAGGACCATTTAAGATCCGTGTATCCTGTTGAAACTCTTACAACTTTGTTAATTTTACGAAATGTTCAATAAAATTTAAAAGACATTTTCAAAAAATATAAAAAAGTCGATTTTTTAAAATCGACCCTTTAAAATAAAAATTCTAAAATTGATTTTTTAACTTTCTAAACTAGACCTTTAATATACTTTTATCAAGAAAATATCAATTTCTTTTCGGGAGCATTTCTTTGCGTATTTTCTCAAGCTTCTGTTAACGTCAGCATTGCATTTATATTTGCACATACTCGGAGAATTCTGTATTAAAACTGTTATTATTTCGTTTTAACACAGTTATCGCTGATGTCGGCTCTCACATTTTAGAAGCGTTATTCCCATGCGAACAACCGACACGTACAGGTACTTCGCTCAAGGAGAAGCTGGAACTTTCATAAACGCGTTTACGCATTGCTTTAAAAAGTTTAATTGATAATTATAGGATCTCGTTGCGCTAAGACTGCTTAAAAGAGCAAATATAATTTAACTTTATATTTTAGTCAGTTTTTGCACAGAAAGTTATCGATTTAACTTCGAAATTAGTTATTGCGACTCTAAATAATTCCTTACTTTATTATAATTATATGAGCCTTAATCAAGAGAGACGACGAGTCCGTCTTTGAAATATCCGAGCAAGCGCTCGTAAGAATTAAATGTCGACGTATTAATAAGATGAGATTGATGTCCCTTTGATTATACTGATAACGGCTCATCGCGCCGAGAGCGTGGTCGTATCGGTTCATCGTAAACGAGGGATTTTAATTCGCGAGGTAAAACCGTGAAAATAAAAAGACGGATCGTCTCGAGCCGGGAAAGAAGGGAGTGAGGGGCGACAAGGGGTAGATCGTTCGAAAAAAGATAACCGGCGACGTTAAAACTTATCGTCGCTTTTCTTTTATGCCTGCCGTCGATGGATGAGACTGAAAGGGCGCGAGAAAAGGACGAGGAGGAAAATCGGGAAACCATCGACCACATTGATGGTCCGCGGCCACGTGGAGGCGAGTTCAGGGATGGACGAAAGGGACGGAAAGAAAGGATAAGGGACGGAAGGGGAATCGGGGAGGAAGCGGGAAGTCTCGATCATGACTGCACAGCGCGCCGAGGAATTATGGATACCATTATACGAGGAAGATTAGAGGTCCTCGTAATATTTTTATTACCTCGTCTCACACGTACGTTAGTTCACATCGGGTCGGATGATCTTTACACAGGCGAACGCGCTCGCGCGAACAGGACGCAAATTGTGAGGTGGGACGATCGCATCTTGAGGGATGGGTGGCTGCTTTCTTTAATTTTCGCATTAAGAAAAGATCACCGACGAGTAACAGAGACTGTATCGCGATAACGAGAAGT